AGTAGTAGTAGTAGTAGTAACAGTATACAACAGTATACTGGCAGTAGCAGTAGCACCACCAGTAGCAGCTGTGTTAGGCAGGTAGCAGGCAGGAGAGGTAGGTCGGTCGGTAGGTGGGTATGACTAAACCTTCTTGAGAGTCAGACTTGTGGGCGGTGGACGAGCTGATACAAGCACAATGCTGAATGAGGGGGCAGAAGGACAAGTCTGGACATGCAAAGGCTCCTAGCGATAGAAATCATACAATCTCAAAGCACAATGAGAAAGGCAATCAAGACCAACCAAAGCGCACATTGTGAGATTGCCAAACAAAGACAGAAGAACAAACACAACGCCAACGAAATGTCTTTAGAGAGGTCAGATAAACAAAAGAACGTTTAACGTACAACAAACACACAGAACAGTTTGGGAGGGAGGGAAGGATTCAGTGGCAGACGATGTTCAGTGGGTAGATATCGTCGGAATGGACGTGAAGAGTGCCACCGGCGACAACCTGCGCCTTGCAGGCCCGAGGCTTTCTACACGCAGGAAACGAGACTCGTCTGCAACTCTGGCGGATGGCAACAGTCTCTTGCAGGGCCCGGTGCCGCGGTGATTGTCACATCAACTTCCGGACAGAATCCCCAAGCAGCAAGAGCAGCGGGTGTCCGGACGCGAAATGAAGCGAATCAGAGCTCCACGCTTCCTGTACGACTGCTTTACTATTACGATTCTTCATTGTTGATTCTTCAACATCGCATGCATGTTGAGCTTAAAGAGCTAAGTTGCGTGCATATGGAAGAACTCTTCAATCCTTGCTGTAGAACTCGGAGACGACGACGGTCTGACCCATCCTGATTGTCAAGTGGTCAGGATTGCTGTCCCCTTCAATGCGTCGACCTGCCACGCTCTAGGCGCAGGTTCTGAGCTTGGCTGCAGTACACGTAGTTGGACACTCGGATCCGCTTGGCTCAGCGAGGTCGTGCTTTGCAGGTGGGAGCCTCGGTGCATCTGAGGGTGTGTCGGCTGCATCCTTGATCACAGATCACAGCTAAAGTGTCCAGGCCTCACTCCTTTCTGCCACAACGGACCAGATGCAGTTCAGGCTCCGGGTTCAGGGGCACTTCATGCATGTCAAACAAGCATTCCCCTCCGTGGCGCTGTTATGAAGCCATTGCTGGCTGCCTTGCTTGCATCCTTGCTGCTGACAGGCTGGACATGCCGTAGGCTCAGGGTGGCGTCGTGTGGGCTCCAGCAGCAGACTTGCTGCCGAGTCTGGCAGACAGGTCCGCTGCCGCAGGGGATGTCCTGCTCATGCTGCCACTCCACGCTGTTGCCCAAGATGCAGCATGCCGATAGAGCACTACAGCATCACTTCCGAGAGAGTACGGATTGCTGGCTAGATGGACTGGAAACTTCAAGGTGCAGTATGCAACAATAGATAAAGCGTACTGAATGTAGGGAGCGCATGATTGTGCTACATATATCTCGGCAGGGGAGCACATTCAGGAACATGGGGTGGCCTGCCTCATGCAGAGCATACATTCCATACTGCCATCCTGCTGTGCGAAGGCTTTAGAGTCAGCCTCTGCTCATCGCAGACAAGGCGATCCACTACGACTTCCAACTCCCCGATGGAAGCCAGTGCCCAGAACTCGCTGTGGACTGTGCCCGAATGACACTTAGCCGGGCGTTTTTTTGTGTTAGCATGATGCTGCAGCTTCGTCCGCGACAGAGAGGACTTCGCAGTTCCTGGTGGCGGAAATGCATCCTGGGACGTTACTTGCCGCTTCCGGCGGTTGGGCCTCCATGGCTGGAGACTCTTTCCACTGATTTCGATAGTCGAGCTCACCAACGGTTACCCTGCTGACAGCTTTTCCGAGGCCATGGGAGCAATGCTTTGGAATTCACTATGGCCTGGGCCTTTGGGTCTTGCGCCTGCAGGGTCGCAGTCTGGACTGCGTGGCATCGGGGATTCCGCCAGCTGCCAGCTGCCAGGGGTCATCTTTCGCGAGCCTGGCTGTGACTCTGTCGCTGTGGGCGGCTTGGGACATGCCTCCTGAATTTCTGGTGAGAGAGGGGCATCTGTCGATTTGCTTGCTTGGCTATGTCCCATTACAATATTGGTCTTGCGGAGCATGGCTAGGCTTGCAGATCTCTTGACGAAGGATTCTGACATGTAAGGTGGGGTTCGGATTTGCTTTCACTCTAGGTCGCTGCCCCCACCTGTAGCTGCCACTGGTGGGGCATGGCTGGCAATGCTCACAGATGGGCCAGCAACTTACAACGCACTGGGAAATGTGATGGGAAAGTCGAACAGAAGGACTCTAGGTCATTTGCAATACACAATGCCACCTGCTTGCTTGTCGTTGCTAGGCTGGCCGAATGCGACGTCGTGCTCGTGGATGCCCCGCCCTGTTCTAAGAAGCGAACAGATCCAAGGTGTGGTGCGCGGGTGTCGAGATGTGGAGTCGTCCTGTGCAAGAGGCCCAGCCTGATGGCCCCACAGGGCTACTTGGTCGCTACTAGCAGCAGCATCTTCATGGCTGCTGCGGCTCTGGCGAGGGCCTCGCCGCTTCTTGTGATAGCTGCAACTCCAGAGAGTCTCCATTGAGTGTACTGGGGTTACTAGAGGAGTGACAATGAGAGAACGTTTGCAATGCACTGAGAATGGTGTGGGTCAGCGGCCCAGGACGTCACCTTGATGCTGATGGGCGACTTGCCCCCTGGCCGGGGCCTTCGTGCATCGACCCAGCAAAGCCCGTGGGTGCACAGCTGGTGGTTCAGGTGGTGAGGTTGTGCTGAAGCTTGTGGACTCAGCGCCCGCCACGCTTCTGGCATGTGACGAGCGCACAGAGGCGCCAGAAGCTACTCACGAGTGAATCATGTTCCGCAGCCCTTTGATGACAGGCCTTCATACCTACTCGTCTCCTCTCCTCGCTGAGCCTTTCCGCCTCGACCTTGGACAGCCACTGCAACAAGGGCAACAGTATCAAGAGGGACGATGACTATGAATGCATACATGAGTACCGGAAACAGATCCACGCATCAGGTTTCTCTGACACAAGATGTCCCGAGATTCCTTGAGCTGAGAGGCTTCGTCTGACTTGTGTCGCGTGCGCATGATTACCCGTTGGGTCAGATCCTGAGCGCGTCGCATCGTTGCTTCATCTCTCTGCATTCTGGCAGTTTGTCCATTCATTGCAGGAATTACTGCTTTGTCAGTGCTTTCCTAAACATTTCAGACCCACAGTAGTTTTCTTGTTGTCGGAGGCTGGGTCCGGCTCAGAGCTCAAGATACGCCTGTCAGTGATGCATGGTGAGGCAAGCATAATGTGAGCACGGGCAGAATGGGTGCATGTTTTGGATTCTCGATTTCCAGACTCTTCCTTGCCTGTGTTGATTCGCTTCGCAGAACGCGACGGCTGTTGCTGTGGAATCACGGACTGAGCTCTCTGGGGAGGCGAGGCAGCTGAATCAGGGGAAATCGGCATTTGGATTCGAAGTTGTCTGAGCATCAAAACACCTCAGATCGCAGGGGAGAGAGAACGCGTACAGAATGCTGCGGCTGCACATCTTTGTGAGTGGTGGCCGCCAGCCAGCTTACAACTTCGTTAAGTTGTCCTGCTGCATGAAGCCACGAAGCTGTTGCATGGTGAAGGTGTCGAACTACACAACTCTTCAGGGCCAGCTGGAGCCTCAGTAGGTTAGACTGGTTAGACGTCAAGCTTCAGTGAGGCGCAAGTTGCCATGCTGAGTTGGAAGTCTTGAGGAACTGGCACCACAGTGCAGGTGTAATTTATATACACTTAAACGCAAGACAGATACTTTCGGTTTCCGATGTGCTTTGATTGTGTTTTGATATGCGCGTGTGGAAGTGCGAGGACTCAATGTCTAAAATGCTTGCGATGCAGGCTGTGTCGTGTATATAATTACTCACTGTCCTTGCTGGGATTCGATGACCGCAGAAGTCCGACGCAAGCGCATGGACGAACTCGAAGTCTCTACATTGCAGTGTGACGTTGCACGCTGGTTGCACAGCGGCTCTGAGCTTGCCAAGGTACTACTTGACTGTAGCGCAGGAACTTCAGCAGGCAAGGCTTTATCCCACAGGATTGGCAGAGCTGCGCCAGGTGCTCAGTGCCAACGACTGCACAGCAGCATACAAGCACGCATATCTCTCTATAATATGTACATAGAAAGATAGATAGATAGATAGATAGATATACATTTATTTCACGTATTTAGTCATATATATATATACACCTACATAATCTCGGGATGCAGTCATGAGTACTGTGTTGTGGTTCGAGCTGGGCAGTATTGCAGCAGTCCCGTCCCTTGTGAAAACATATACAAAAAGCTGGGTGACGTTGTCATCCTCGCAACAAGAGGTAAAGGCTTCATGCTTCTTGCGAGCGATAGCTGCAAGCTCGCAGCTTCCTCTCAAGAAAGGTCCAAGCACGTTCCTCATTACGTTCCAGACGGCCGTGGAGTCACTGTTTTACGCGCGCGGTGCTGAAAAGGAAGAGGGTGACGAGGTGTCTGTAGACCTACATCCGTGTGTTGCCGCTCGACAAGGCTGGGCCAGCCTGGCAGCGCAGTGCTCACTGCACGGCCTCCACCTGTCTGCGCTCAAGGACAGCTTCCAGCCATAAGTACGTGCAGAACTAGTCTGTCAGACGATGTGGCTTCACGGCACATCTGGCGAGAGGCTGTGCGGCATGGGAGCAAAGGATGCCCGAGCCCAGCTCAGTCTCAGAAGGGCGACCAACTTGCAGCTGTACTAGCAGACTAGCCCTGTTGATTGCCGGCCTTTCCAGAAGGGTTTGAGTCGTGTCAGCGTGGATATTGGTATGCTCTGACAGCGCGTGGACGCCGAGTGAGTGAGTATTCTGATGATTCAGGGCAGCGCTGCCGGGTTGGGTCGTGCTTGCAGCCAGCCGGCAATCTTGCCAAGAGCAGGGGCCACAGGGAGCCGTCGCCAGATCTAAGTCTTGCATTGACCATTGACACCCGCAAGGATTCCATCAGCGTCGTATATGCAAGCCAAACTGAATCTGCAGCCGCCAATTCAAGAGTTCGCACTTCCAATGCAACCCCGACACATGACGTAGCCTGCCACTAGGCGTTTGTGGACCCAGGCAGCACCTTGGTGCTACTGCGAGAACGGGCAGGGAGCCGACTGGGACTTCTGTTTACCGGAGGCACCGCTTAGGAACTTGCATGGCGAGATTTCGTTGAGAGGGGTATCAAATGCGTGTGAGAGACCGGTCAGGTTGTTAGACTGCGGTTGCAACTTTTGGATGCCGCGCTCTTACCCGATTTTGCTTGATCTGCTGTGGGCCCTGGCGCGTTTGTTACAGATTTCATCAGCAATTGCCTGCGAAAGACACTGCATCGAGGCATCTCGCTTTTGGTTACGCCGTGCCAGTGATGGCGCAAAGTTGCAGGTGGTTTGGTCCTTGGTGATGAGGGTGTGGTGGTCACAGTCTGCTGAGTTTGATTCTTCTCAGATCGCCTGGGCTGAGGTCCCGGAGATGCTCGCTGTTGACTGTCCTGGCCCAAGTTGTGAAATGACTTGCGGCGCATTGCCGTGCTTCCATATACCGGACATGCGAGGCAAGAGGCACTCGTGTTAGCTACACCCGATAGATTCCGATAGATGCGTCAGATGCGACAGATTGTGCTGCAACAAGCAATCCGAAACCAACAAGACAAGTTGGGCGACAAACAGCTGAGGCGCAGAATACCTGCTCAACTTTGCAGCTTTAGGACCTCGGCAGCTTGGAGCATTGGAGCATGTTATCACACCAGCCATGCACGCAGCCCGGGCTAAGCAGTAAAGCAAACTCCGTAGACTGCACGGATAGCGCCCAACTCGTGAAGCGCCGGGCTGAAGACGACAGGTTTCAAAGTGATGAACATGCAGTGGGTTGGCATAAAATCACTTCGTTCACTTCGTTGCCAGGAGGGTCCGTGCCTGCTCCTCGCCGCTGCTGGGGAGATGCAATGCGAACTACCGGTGACGAGGTCAGTTCGGTATTGCTCCAGATGTGAGACCTTTTGAAGCTTCTGGGAGTGGTATTTGCAGGTGCAAAAGTGGGTTTGCGCAGGGCAAGGAATGAAGTGGGTATCGTTCCAGGATGTGCATTGTGGACTTACCAGTTTCATTTTCGCGGTCATGTCCTGCTGCTGTCGCTACTAATTACAGGTGTTTGTGGATTTTTTTCCTGGCCGTGGATTGGTGGCGGGCACTTCCTACAGCTCGGGCCACAGAGGATTTAGCCTGTGCATTCACAGATAAATGCCCGGTACCCCACAACCGCGTGAGTCCATTCACACTTCATGCACCCAAAGTCAAGGTCTGGAAGTGACTGGCGAGTTCAGGATCGGCGTGTGTTCGTGTCAGTATACACGGGTGAACGGCCTGCAGAAGCTGGATATGTTGAGATCTGGGCACTGATGGACTGAGCCGCACTTCTCAGTGACACCACATTGGCACGTGCTGTTTGAGCTGATTGAGATTGCAGTCGGTCTTCTTCAATGCGCCACCGCCACCATGCCCGCCCTTCTGCTCGTGTGGATGAGTGACGGCTAGGAGTTCCGTGAGCATCAGCAACGAGGCCTGGAGTTTTCTCAGAAATTTGCACTTCTCGTCGCGACCTTACAACTTGATTTCCAGCTGTTACTGTACGCCGTGCACACCAGGAACCTAGAGCTTCCTGATCAGGCTTCCGAGTTCGGGAATGTTAGCCTTGCAACACACAACCCGGCCTGCCTCGGCTACGGGGCTCGTGCGAGTCAGCCTGTCTTTTCGGCCTTTCCCAGTTCATGTCTCATCGGGCCGCTTGCAAGCACAAAGCAGCAGCGATTCAGCGCCTCATTCTGGCATGCTGCCTTTACGCATCATGGGGACCCTGGCTCAATACAAGAAGAGGGCACCTAGTCACGAAGCAGTGTAGCCGGCGAGATGAGTCCGGAGCCGGATGTCAAGTAACGACGACCAGGGATTCAATCTGTTCTCCACATACTTCAGCCCTTCTCGCTAAAGCGACGATGCATCATCATGCATGGCGCACCTGGGATTAACGCGCTGGGGATGCTGGAGCAGGCTTGGTGGTGTGATGTGGCAAGCTGCGCAGGTCCTGGAACTCTCCGTTTGGAGCACATCTGCGGCCCCTGGCCTAGACATGCACGAGGTTGATGACAGCTCCGCAAGCAAACTGCCAGAATAGAACTCGGATGCAGCGAGGGCTGGGCTCATAGTCGAGGGCATCATGCGCATGCTCTTTGCTGTGTGTTGTGCATCTTGAAGGATGGGCCGTTCATCGGCAGAGAGTTTGCCAAGCTGCGACCTTCGGTTTCTGTCTGAGCTATGGAGGCTGTCAGGACATAAAGAGAATCATCGTTCTGTCGTAGTTATTGCTGAACTTGAACTGAACACATGAGGCTTCATCGATTCCAAAATCTGGCACGTCTATCTTTGCCCAGCAGCCAACTGTTAACAGCGCCAGGGCCTTTGACTTTGCAGCAGCATCCAGGTTTGGAAGCATCTCGGCACTGGACAGCCCCGCTACCGAAACAGGGACGTTGTACGCTGAGACACGAACTTCCAGTCGTCGCTTGCACAATAGCTCCTCGACCCAAGGTCGCCGCGCAGTTGCTGGATGTAAACACCACAGGACGCAGACTTGGACATGTGTCGGCACTTCTGTGTATCAGCTGAGCAGTACAGAAAGGCGGTATAGGCTCCAGATGAGGTGGCCCAATGAGTTGAGAATGGTGTGCCGTCAGTGAGTTCCGAGGAAACGTCTCAGCGAGGGCCTCAGGTACAGTGGACAGCATTCGGAAACGGAATGTGCATAAGGCAGCAAGCATGGCACAATTATGTCCTTCGCCTGGGGTGCAATCGCAAATCGCCAGTTGCGTGTATTTCTGGCATGTGCTGTGCGCATCTTGTGTACACTCCGGCTCACATGAAACTGCTGTGCTGCCTCATGCAGAGGTTTCCGATAAATGCAGACCCCTGATCAATATACCCTCCTTTCTCGAGTTTTCCAAGGATCTCTATGAGAGGATCCGTATAATGTGTGTATATATATATATGTATATTAACCTTTACTAACGGATGGAGGGTTATTCATGCGGGCTTTCGGATTGCATGCTTTGTCATTCATCCCCCAGTGGGTCTTTCCAGCTCCAGTCCTGGATTAGCCAGAACAAAAGGAACGTAGACAGAAAGCAGGTGGAACACAACACTATCTCCTTTGCTGCACCTTGAGCTTGTCTCGGTTCCACCCTGTTGCCCCAACTGTAGGCAGGGCTAAGCTAAGCCGGGCAAAGCATATCTGGCAGAACCTGGGCAATGGCGCAGCTCCAAACTGGTACTGCGTGTGATTAAGAAGCCCAGGAGAACAACGGGGAAGGCCTTACCTTAAGCAGGCACTGTCAATCAATTTCAGGACGTCGTGGTAGCCGCCGCATCTGCCGGGTGGACATTCGGAGAATCTGTTTCTGCAGCGCAGAGCATGCGTTTGGGCCTCGGAGGAATGGCCGATTTGACTCAATTTGTCGAGATCTCGGACAGGATCCCCAAGGCCGTGGCAGTGTTGAACTGGGACCACATCTGAGGGTTTTCGGGTCAGAGTCCACCTGTCAGCTGCAACATGTGCTCTGCTGGCAGCAGAAAGCAGGCATTTCGCTCGCCAGCAGCGCCACTGGCACCACCCCGGCCTGCGCGGCCTCGATGGCCGCGACCACCTCCCAAGGCGGAAGCTGTCTGAGAGTTGGTTCTTTTGATTCGTTTTTGCTTCATGACGATGCAGGTGGTGCCACCACCGAAAAGAGCTTCTGCCGCGGCAGAATCCAGGCAATGGAAGATCTGAGAAGATCTGAAGCCGCCAGCACATGGCAGCTGTTTTCTGCTCCAAGGCAGCAAGCTGCAGCAAGCACTGGCCTCCGTCTCGGGCCTCAGTGGGTTCCCCCAGAGCTGCTGGAGCGCGGGATGGTGGTCCTGCAGCTTGGAATGCTCCAAAATTCAAGAGCTGTGGCTCTAGCTCATCTGTTCCTTGTGGTTTATGCTCAATCTTTCGGCTAGTTGAGGCATAATATGCTGTGGCCGTGGCCGGCCACAGACAGAGCTGTGTTTATTATATGCTGGCTTCCAAGTGCTTATTACCGTATGGTAAGGTGTCAAGATGGAGCGCTTGGCGTCATCGAAAGCGTGTTTGCAGCTCTGGACGAAGTCTATGTTCAAAGACACGGCTCGACAGAGCCAGTGAAGCTGAACACCAAGCAGATCACCTTCTTGGGCGAATGGTCAGACTCAGCAGCACGCCAGCAGGTCAACAGCTAAGGGTTCAGGCCTGGCATAGAATTGGGGATGATTGCTGATGTCAAAACCTCACTAAATCCAAGTTGGAGCCGTGAAGCGTTGGATTCCTCAATAGCAACAGGACGGAGAGCGACTGAGGCAGAGCATGTGACTGCGCGAGTGGCTCCGTGCTGCTGCGTAGAGTGAACAGGTATGAGATGGTTGCAGGTAGACCAACCCTTGCGAGTCTTGGAAGGCTTCTACTGTTGGGTTGAAGTTTCCAGGATCATGTTGCCCCGCGCACGCACGCTGAGATGCAGATGTCCACGCATGCTGCGGGCAAAGACAGACATGTACGTGAGTTTATAAAATATGTGTTATATATACACATACATACATACATACATACATACATTTACATACATAATTACACACAGTTTGGTTCACTCGTGGCCCTCTGGGATGCAATCTCCCAGGTAGGATGCAGACTTGCTTTTCGCTTGAACTATCAGCTGAGCTCTCAGGTCGAGATCATTAATTCCGTGGAAGTGCCTCCGGATGTCGAGTCGATTCTCGGGTTGGAGCAGCTGGATCAACTGCAAGAGTTGGCAGGGAAAGCGCCGGTTCACCTGGAATCACTACCCCAGGAGCCGGGCTCAGACACGAAACCAATCCTTGTTTCTATGAGCACAGCAGATCTGCAGGAGGGAGCATGCGGAGCTTTAGCCCAACTGGTAATCGGCCCGAGCACAGCAAAAGCGGTGAAGGCGGCAGTCGATGCAATCGTCAGCCATGTCGATTCTTGGTGACATCCAGGGTTGCCGACTCTCTTATACGTCTGCCACTGCGCAAGCAAAGCGCGGATGTTCTATTGTGGTCATAGCAGTGCTTGCATATCTTTCATCGAATCTACGAGTCAGTATGTCGCTAGCGTCGGAAGCTTCGGCCTCAGAACGGGTTCAAAAAAGGAGTCAGTCACAGCAAGGCTGCATAAGTTGAGTAAGCTTATCTCAAGGTGATTATTACGGATCAAAACAAGAACAATCCGCCACACTTTCTTCCGAGTGGCAAATGTGGATGCATGATTCGGTCGAGTAAACAGTTGCCAGTACTTGAACGTTGCATTTTTGCCATAGGATGACGTATCAAAAGAACTGATCGTCAGTTCAGTCGCAGCTGTCGATTTACTTCTCCATCCAGGATGGGCTGGACTATCCGGAAGACAGCTATGCAAAGGCTGCCAGGGCCAGCGCAGCAGCCGGAGCTACAGGCTGTCAGGCAGCCTGCTGTAAACCTATAACTATAGTTGCCGCTGCACCTTTGGCATTTCGCAAATGTTCGAACGTGTGCGAATTTCCTGCCAACCTGATCTCTTTGATACCTGCAGGCCACCCCTAGTGACCAGTGGCCAGCGGCAGTTGCAGATTCTGCATCAGCGCTGTATCCGGCTGGATCGTCGCCTGTGATGATGGTTTGTCCGGTGGCTTTGGCACATACAGAGCCAGAAAGTTGGTACTTGTGCACATCAGGTTTGGGTGAGTCAGGTAGACTAAGTTAAGTACGCTTGCAATAACAATTAGGCGAGTTGTCTTGCAGGTCTGGCCCGGTTCCAATCCCGCTTGGCCAGACTGGTCTGCAAACCCCGCCTGGGGGTCGGCTATGTCAACTGTGGCCGCAGCGCCAGCGGGCGCAATCCAGAATAATCTGGGGTCCTGGCAGGAGGAAGCTCAGACAGTCGAGGCCCGTTGCCGTAAGGTAATCACCAGATTTCAGGCACCACTGATGGAGCGGCTCGTTCTACAAGCTGTTGACGCTGCAGGTGTCTCTTGACACAGACCAGAAGCTCGTGCAAGAGATCCAAGAGATACCACTGCTTTCGCAGATTTCTGCAGATCCAGTGAAAGAGGACCGGGGCAACTATTGCAGGCATTCTACATCGGTCGATTGCTTTGCCTCCGCTAGGTTCGCCAGAGCACTGCTGCCCCTCCGTGGCGCAACAAGGCCTAAATAGGGCCTAAATCATTTCATAGTAAAGCAGGCGTGTCTAGCCGGTATGCCTGGTTGCCTTCTGGGACAGGAGCTCCCGCCGCCTCCGGAGAAGAAGCAGGTGGTGGAAAAGAAGGCCAATGTCCACAGCGGAACCACGGCCAGAATCTCAGCCTCAGATTTCGGTGCTGCATTGCGCTCGATTCGAAGCTGGACCCCACAACAGGTGAAGCGATATCGGCCATCGAGCCTTTCAGGGAAGAGACGCCGCGAGGCCATGAATGTAAAGCAGGAGGCCTCGAGTGCGAAAAATCGTTTGCATCACGCACGGTGACCCCTAAATATTTCCTTTTGCCATGAGGTGGAGGAGGACCAGGGCCACCCTGTGAAGGCCTTAAAGGTGGATGATGCCCAGGATGGAGCTGCCGCGGCCTCGGAGCCGGGCTTGGGCTTTCGGCTGTCTCAGGGTCTGAGAAGCTTTTGCCAGGCACCATCGAGCCCAAATTCCGCTGATGAGACCAATAAGACTGTACTGTTTTGGGCAAGCCAGCAGGACTGAATTTCCAGGGCTAAGGCCCATCCCTGCAAGCAAGCGCAAACAAGTTGCTACCAGTTTGTTGTACATCATCTTATCGTATTTACGTAATATGATGATATTATGTGTTTGTCGTTGGCGAATCCCTTCCCCCCATAGCTGCCAGAATACTTCAAGCATCTCGTCATTGACACTATCATGTCTCACGGGTGCCCGGCTCTGAGCGGCGAGAGCATGCCTGACTTTCTGAGCCCGGCTTCAGAAATGTCAGTCGTCGTTGCGGCTTCTGCCCGTTGCACTACTTTTAGCTGGCAGGACCAGTTTTCTCACCTACCTCAACTGCCAGATGGCTGGATCAGGATCCCGTCGAAATCAGCTGGGGCATGCTACTATGTGTTCCTCGGCTGCACTCTTTTACCGTGTGCCTCCTCAGCGTTTTGTATTGTCGTTGTTTCTGCATCGATCTGACGACTAAATTATCTGCCCGGAGGCGTTTGCTGCTAAGCCCCCATTCGTGTCTCCATTCCTGTCGGAGCAGTTCTTGACTCGCAGTTCTCGCTAGCTTCGCGCAGGAACTTGAGAACTGGCACAGCAACCTTCAGATCGCCCCTGGATTTGCCTCCTGGTTGGGTGAAGGCTGGCCCGATGAACTGAGACCTTCGGAAGGGGAGGTCGGGGAGTCGAGGTGAATTGGATTGCCTTGGCGGCTTTGTCATAATAGGCCGTGCTTAGCCTGCTGATGCCGTTGCGCAATGGACATGCAGATTTCGCAGAAGGGCACTGATCGCCCTGAAGATCCCTGAAGGTAATGTCCAGGAGCACAGGCAGGCACTACTACTGGCACGCAGAGAAGCAGATCTCGCAGTTTGAGTTGCCTGCAGACTAGTGACTAGTGACTAATGGAGAATAACTCCATCTTGGGTTCAGGCGACATTGAATCGCAACCTTAGCACACGAGGCCGTGTTTGCTTTTGTTTTCTATAGTGTTGACTGGCTTGTTTGGACTCATGTCGTCGAAGCCAATGCACACTGCAGCGCTGTCGGAGGGACGGATCAATTTATTTGACAAACGTTCATGCTGCAGCGTAGGAGCATGGGAGGGTGGCAAAGCGGCTACCGGCTATTGTATACTTATGTATACGAGCGTGAACGAAACAGCCAGGTTCAGAAGGTCATGCTAATCGAATATTCCGGGATATGCTTTAGGCGGGTCGGACGGCGCCCATTTGCTTGAGGAGTGGAGGTCGAACTTGCCTTGCAAGGGCAGGCTCTGGGCAACCTCAAGATGTTAGTCTGGAGAACCCTGTGAGGCGTTACCAAATCACAGAACTCAGCCAACATGCCAGAGCGGCCAAAAGAGGATGCTGCCTGACATCTGAAAATGCCGCATGTGTGTGGAACTCTCGATGCTGCCCTGCCATTATGTCTGGCTTTGGATGGGTCAAATTCAGCGCATTAGTTCAGCGCTTTTGGGGGTTCAAGTCTCGGGCTTTCAGGTGTAAGGAGGTAGAACATGCTGAGGCAAGTATGAGCTTAAGTTGCATATGGTTTCTCCCCTGCCTATGCTTCCATTATGTCGTATGTAGCCCAGAGGCATCACGAGGTCTTTTTTCGGATTCTACGTCTGTGCCACGGCCATGGCTGGTGTCCCACACCTTCCGGAGAATCTCGGCTTGGTTGCTGCAGGGTTGCCGGATCTAGAACTAAGATGCTTCTCGCATGGTTGGATTCCCTCGCGTAGGCTCAGGCTGGAGGAGTGCAAGACTGCTGAACCTCCAGGGTTTTCTACATGTAGGCTTGAAGTAATACAACGAGAAAAGTCTACCACCGTGAAACCGGAAGCCAAGCTGCAAAGAATGCCAGCACATTGCTGAGGAGGGGCCACTTCGCCAAGGCAGGCGTTGCCAGTTCTGAGTCGCGGGTCGCGTGTGGCCTTGCAATGCAAAGGCTCCTGCAGAACCGGAGGATCAGCCACTCTTCGTCATTCATGGAGTCGATACCGGTCCAGGCTCTACGTGGAACTTGCGACTCAGTGCGACCAAACTAGAGCTCCTTTCTTCTCCTTGGCAGGCTTCTCGCAGGCTGCGGCGGTGTCATCAGGGAGAGTGGGAGAGTCGAATTGAATCGGGAATGGGATTCCAGGGTTGCAGCTCGCTTGTCCGGTCTGACGTAGTAGTCTGCGTGTTACTTTCGTCCCTTTAGGCCCCGGAGCGAGTGTGACCTGCTTTTATTTTTTCGACCGACGGAAACGAAAGTGTTCCCTTTCTGTTGTGGGACTTATGCCTGCAAGTGGTAGTCAATGAATTTAGATACTGACGCCAATTGCACAGGGCGCACAAGGACAGCACCCAAGCCTGGGCGTGAGAAGCCAGTCGATGCCGGACAGCACAGAAAACGGTGGCATCAGCCGTTCGCACGCCAACCCTTCAGTGCTTCACCTTACTTTACGAGAACGCCAGTAGCAGACTTATAGGGCACCAGTAGGCGAACAAGCACTTTCTGCGCAATGCTTCCACCACTCAGCGGTGGAACTAGTCTTTCAGTTTTCCCCCTCCAAGCAGAGCGAAACGAGCAGTATGCATTGACGGATTCCAGTCGAATAGATAAAGCAGGCGAAGAAGGCATCTCAAGAAAAGCCAGATTGCACCGCTGAGTGCCTGATATGGCGCAGTTGGCTTCGGATATCAGCCCGGGGTGCTGAATAGAAAACCGGAACACGATCCACACAACGGGAAATGGCACTACTGCCTACAAAGCTTCGGATGATGTTTGCTGCGCTTTGTGCAACTCCAGGCTGTTGCCGAAGACCTGCACGTGCCCACGCACGCAGAGCACAGCTGCTTGTTCTAAGTAAAGTTGCAGTTTGCAAGGGGGCCCGCCCGCAGGCTCCCTACAGCACTTCAGGGAAGCATGATCACTACAGTGACAGAGCATGCCGAAGTTTGTACGTTGCTTGAGTGGAATCCGACGGCATCCACCGGCCTGGCACGGCAGGCAGGTTTCCATTCCGACTTTGCAGTAGACCGAGGTCCTCCTGTGTCCCCATCGAACCGTGTACTTGCACGGGGCCGGACGCGCAGGCTATCCCAGCAGGAGAGAGTTGAGAAGCAGTGGGGACGTGGCACCAGGGTGTGTCACACCAGTAGCCTACGCGGCGGACATCAAAAATCATCTTGCTTGGAGAGCAGCTCCCCCATCCGTGCCGGCAGGACATATTGCATGACCTTGACCCAGACCTGCAGATCAGCGCGAGCACTTCGTTCTCTGTAGGCTGCCCGCATTATTCAGAACGGTGTGCGCGGACTACTTGTGTCAGTGCCTGCACTTTGCGATCACAACGCAAGAGCAGCATTCCGAGCCGTGTGCCGTCGCCAAGAAATCCACGAGCAAGAACTGCTGGCAGCAAAGGCCTTTTGCGGCAGGCGGGGCTGTGGCCTGCGCGCTCCGCCTTTCTGATGAAGTGTAAACGCTTTGCATCGTCCGCCTTCGCCTGCTAGAAGGTTCAGAGTTCAGAGTGCATGAGACGACGAATGTTAGCTGGGGCGCTTTGGCTTTGAAGCCACCATCCAGTACGTACTTTTCGCGGGAAAGTGGGGAGGGGAGGAGGAAACTCTTGCCGAGGTGGATCTGTGACAACCGCGCCCAAGCCTTTTCAAGAGACCGAACCGTGGACCATGGCAATCGATACCATGCCATGCAATTGTTTACTTCGCTTTTGCAAGGGTGCTCCTCAGCTGGTGATGCAGTAGCTGCCTGCTCTGTCATTTGCTTACAACTGATTTCTTGGGAGTTGACCAACACTACAGGGAAGATTGGGCAAACTTATGAAACACTTGACTTGGACACATATATTAGCAAGCAGTAGGAAAGCGTTCGACGGCGCCTAGTGGAACACAATAGGAAAGCCTCGCCGAAACACCCTCCATAGAATTCAACAAGTCTCCGGAAAAGGATAGACACGAACAAGCACTTCAGATTTGCTAAACACCCAGCAAAGCAGCACACAACATACAGAAGACACAAACAAAGTCAACGCGAATCAGTAAACAAACAGAACCAGCAACAATGCCTCGAACAAAACACACTCTATATATATATATGTATACATA